TCGTTTTTCAACAAAATTGATCTTTTGAGTTTTTCTTGTTCATCTAACGGTTGCCGAGAAAAAAATTAATATACTTATTAAGAGCCCGCCTTAAGCCGTTTTCTAACGATTTTTTATTTTTTAGATTAATTAAGAAACACCCTGTATATGCATATCACAGGCAACCAAATAAACTAGTAACCTCTAAAAATTATTTTTCCTACCACTAGCGACATACCGTGTTTTTAGTGAGTACTAAATTATTTTATCAAAATTTCTCCATATAAGTTTCCAGGCAATGATTTCAAATCAAATTCAAATGTGTCAAATGAATTGTCAAACAGAACTGTCAAGGATCCCCACCCTAGAGTGCTTTTTCCGCCCACCATGCATGAATACATGGATAGCATTATGCTCCTTCCTTAGTCTTCTTATTCAAAGTTGTAAATATATTTCTAACTCCACCGATGGCAGATTTTCTTTTCGTAAAATGGCTCTAGTATTTACTGCATTTTTGATCTCTTGTAAAAAAATGCCATATCGCTGAGTTTTTTTTTAAATAAGATTTTAATCTGCTCCAGCTGCAAAATAAAGCAGAATCGGACCCATGTTCATATGAAAAATAAATCTTATGTTATTAACATGAGAAATCTTCCCACGAGAGATGGCACATATTTTTTGAAACTCTCTGTATATGTTTTGACTGAACAGGTAAGACTGAAAAGTAAAACCTTTTGTGTAGACGGGACTTTAACATATACAGGGTTGTTCACCACATACGACACGGAGTATTGTAGCTAAACGATTAGATTTTTACAAATTGTAAGTTTTGGGTTCGTTGAAGGACTATTAGAGCTACAATTTAAAACTATTTTTACAAGATACAGAGTGTCCCAAATAAATAAAAAATATCGAAGTTGTATTTTTTTAAATGGAACACCCTGTATATTATTACATTTTTAGTTTCTACGATTAAAATAATGGTAAATTTGATAAAGGTTTATTACACTTAAACCTTACCGTTTTTGAAATATTTTCAATTTTGTGAAATTGCAGTCAAAATTTTAAGGCTTCATTTCTCCAAGGGTATCAAAGTTTTTAACACTAAATATTTACTGAAGTTTATTTATTTATCAGTTATTGTGTTGCAATAATAAAAATTATACTACCTAGTGTCTAAAATTTTATTTTACATAATTACTAGCTTTAAACGGCAATAACTTGTAAAATTTAATGGGAACACCCTGTATATTTTATGAGAATCAGATGCACATTTTAATTGTCTATTAAATTGTATTAGACCATTTTGTACCTAAAGCTTCAAGTTTCCGTAGAAAATGCATTTTCATGTAATTTTAAATTCAGTTATCAATATACCCATGGAATACTGACATTTTAGATTATTTTTAAAGATGTACCAAATTTTTAAAGAGTACAGATACTAATATTGTCGATATAGTTTGTTTATTTCATTAAAAAATAAAAGAAAACTGTTTAAATATTTGTTAAAGAGGACCAATTAATATGATTCCAGTATTCAAACTACATTAATTGACTGTTTACGTTGATTAATAATAATTGCTCCAAAAAATAAAAAACTGAATTTTTATGTGTATTAGACAGTGTGGTAAAAAGTAACACCTTAAAAGATATATTTAATTTTTTGACAAATGCTTATTTGTAACAACAGAGACATTCATTTTAATAACTTATTATTATATTGATTTCTGATTCAAATCCACATTTATTTAGAATAATTTATTCACGAATATAATTAAGTATGTAATTAATTAGTATTTGGGCGGAAATAATGGTGGTATATTTAATTAATGGTATACTCTTTTATGAAGATTTAAATAGTTTTTCTTTTTGCATACAAATGGGCTAAGTAATATTATCATTTTGCTAAAACGATAATATTACTAGCCTGTACATTTATTACATTTGTTGCTTTAAAAACAATCTAAAATGTCAATATTCCATGGGTATATTGATAAATGAGGTCTAATTATAAGAAAATGCATTTTCTACGAAAACTTGAAGGGATAGGTAAAAGTGGTATAATACAATTTGATAGAGAATTAAATTATGCATCTGATTCTCCTAAAATATACAGGGCGTTCCATTTAAATTAAACAAGTTATTGCCTTTAAAGCTAGTAATTATTTAAAATAAAATTTTTAGACACTCTGTATAAGGTAGTATAATTTTTATTATTGCAACACAATAACTGATCAATAAATAAACTTCAGTAAATATTTAGTATTAAAAACTTTGATACCCTTGGAGAAATGAAGCCTTAAAAATTTTACTGCAATTTCACAAAATTGAAAATATTTCAAAAACGGTAAGGTTTAAGCGTGGTAAACCTTAATAAAACTTACCTTTATTTCAATCGTAGAATCTAAAAATAGAATAATATACAGGGTGTTCCATTTAAAAAAATATAACTATAGCATTTTTTACTTATTTTGGACACTTTGTATCTTGTAAAATTATTTCTAAATTGTAGCTCTAATAGTCCTTCAACGAATCCAAAACTTAAAATATGTAAAAATCTAATCGTTTAGCTACAATACTCCGTGTCGTATGTGGTGAACAACCCTGTATTATAAATAAAAAAAACACTGACTTATCTTTGTAATAGATTTTATTTAAATACACACTGAAATAGGTAATCAGCATAGGAACACTTTTATATTAAATACTCTTTTATGTAGCTCGTACAAATAGTGCGCTACAAACACTCCACATGAAAAATAAAACGGTAAATAATATTCCAAACAGTTCCGAAGACAACAAAAAAAAATTGTCTGTGCGTAAATATTAGGTTTAGTGTCGATGCTTTGACCAATTGAGATCACTAAAAGAATGTTTGAAACAGTCGAATTTGTTCAACATAATACTACAACAAACAAAATCATTAACACTAAACTTAAAATTTAAATATGAAGAAAAAAATATATATAATATGTTCTTTCAGTGACTTATAAAACTTATGGTTTCTAAAGGTAAACTGGCTACAGAAGTATATTTTATTTTTTAGACCCTGGTCCTTGTTTATTATTTTACACTAACATTTTGCTTTAATTATTTTTACGTTAACTTTACGGTTAGAAATAGACTTATTTTATTTGATAATGTTTTATACGATTTGTGCAAAATTCAGTCTTTTCTAATCGTAACGTGTAGCGTTTAAAGTGGTGACACAGACTTCGTATACTAATTACTCTAGGCAAAAAGAATCCTTTAAATGCACGCTGTTACACCTAATAGCCGGAGAGCTGGCGAAATATTTAGAGAACATATTTTAGGCAAGTTAGAATAACAAAAAAAAAGTTTAATAACTTGTGAACCCAGAATCCTAAGTCTGGCTGGGGGGTTGGGGGTATTTCGCTACTGCGCAACCCATAACATTTGCAAAAAAATAAATCCAAAAAACATTCTTTAGGCAACTTGAAGTTTGTTTATTCTTAAATTTTAGCATCTATTTAACCTAGAAATAAGTGTGCCAGACTTTTTTTTCGGGTTTAAAGTGTAACCAGACCATTCCAAATATGTTTAATTATTATACCTGGAAAACATACTTTAGGCATTCTAAAATTTTTACAGCGTGTTTATTAGATGATATTCAAAAATATGTGTTAATTGCCAGAAAAATTCAATGGGATTTAATACCTGCCAGACGCGAATAAAGATTTTAAATGAGCGCGACAAAAAAAACTTATGAGTATCTATAAGCGCGAGAAAGATAGTTTATTGAGACCCGTCGGCAGCCGATGCGGCTGACGTAACAGTATTTTGAAGTATGTACTTCAAATTTTCCTAAAAACAATTTTTTTCGGTTTCATTTCAATTATTTGCAGGCTTTTAATTCAGAGATTATTTTGTTGGAATTAAGTTACCATGTACAAATACATATGCATTTATAAATTAAATATTGACGTGAATAGTGTAAATAGTTTAGAATAATTACTGCAAATAAATATTTTAGTAACTACTAATTTCGCTACTAACTACTAGATCACAATGGATAAAAAACATTTAAGTTGTGTAGTTTGTAAAAAACTTACTAGTGACAAAGTTATTGTTTTTACAAAAATGTAAAGAATTTTTAAAAGTGCGCCAACAACATGGTTTAAAATTTAAAGAAGTGGTTTTACCAGAAAACGTAGTCCCGACAAAAGGGTACCATGTACAGTACTAAAAAAATAAGTATTCTGGAATTTTACTAAAGTACCTACCATTGTTAATCTTTTTAAATAGATTCAAAAGTAAGTAAAAGTGTTTTACTTTTAAGCTTAGGCGTTAAAATGACTTTTTTATATTGTCAATCAGGTCGCAAAAATTGATAATAATATAATATGTCACAAAAGTATAACAATAATTATACTTTTGTGACGTTTGAAAAAAATATATTTTATATTGCTAATTTTTATATAATTATTCGTCCTTTTATTCTTTCAGATACAAAATACTTAAATTAAAAAGTCTTCTTATTGAAAGGATTTCAATCATACATTTTTATTAAAAAATGTTTCTTTTTATTTATTCAATATAAGTTAGTTTTTTTTTAAGTTTTTACGACTCCAAAATGATGTTACGTCAGCCGCATCGGCTGCCGACCAACTATCTTTCGAATAAACTATCTTTCTCGCGCTTATAGATACTCATAAGACTTTCTTATCGCGCTCATTTAAAATCTTTATTCGCATCTGGCAAGTATTAAATCCCATTAAATTCGTCTGGCAATTAACACATATTTTTGAATATCATCTAATAAACACGCTGTAAAAATTTTAGAATGCCTAAAGTATGTTTTCCAGGTATAATAATTAAACATATTTGGAATGGTCTGGTTACACTTTAAACCCGAAAAGAAAGTCTGGCATACTTATTTCTAGGTTAAATAGATGCTAAAATTTAAGAATAAACAAATTTCAAGTTGCCTAAAGAATGTTTTTTGGATTTATTTTTTTGCAATTGTTATGGGTTGCGCAGTAGCGAAATACCCCCAACCTCCCAGCCAGACTTAGGATTCTGGGTTCACCAGTTAATAAACTATACATTTTTAGTTATTTTAGCTTGCCTAAAATATGTTCTCTAAATATGTCGTCAGCTCTTAGGCTATAAAGGCGCGTACAGATACAACGAACGTATACCGAACGATTTTTTCACGTTGTGAACGTCTTCGCTAAAGCTGGGTATTCACAGATCATCAAAACTCTCACAGTAGCTGCAGGTTAGTTCGCGCGTATACAAACTTGTAAACAGATCCCGTCTGGATGGGATATTTGCGTTGCCCGCACTTTTCTTGAAGCGTTTCTATTAAAAATTAAAATCGATACCGAAAAGTTAATTGATTTATCACTACCGCAATTTACAAAGGTCTTTCTGAAAAGAAGTATCTTCCTGAAGATGTTGAAAAATCACCGAATTCTTTTCTTTTTTTAGTATCTCAATCACTTATGCACTTCTTTTTTTGCAAATGATTCGCCGTCATAACAAGGTATTTTCTAGAAAATATAATTCCCGAAACGAAACGTTTTAATTATTCCCGCAACTGTTGTTCGCGACTTTTTATCAATGTCACTGTGTTAACTCAACCTTAGACCAAGATTACCAATTCGGACGGTCCCGTGCATTTTTGTAAATCGCGCATCTACTGTGAGAGTAGCCTAAGGGATCTTTGACGCGAACGCGAAAAGTATGGAGTGGAAAAACGAGGATATTCTCAGGTTAATTGATATACAGTGAGGTTTAAATTATATTCGCGAAAATTCGGCACTGTAATCTACCGATACAAATAGATAAAAACGGTTCGTATAAATTTATATCCTATAATGTTTAATTTGGGAGATGCAGAAGTTTCATTTTTATTTCGATTTTTTCCAAATAATTTCTGAAATAATATAAATAATGCCTCTAATAAAATCCTAAGTAAAAAAGTCTCCAGGAAAAAAATCGCTGAGATCGATCGAAACCGTTCTCAAAATACTTATTGGGATATAAATTATCAATACATGTCATTATTGACGAAAGAAATAAACATGTTGACAAGATAGTTATTTGACTGAAATAATAAATCTGGGAGTTTTTTATTTTTTCAAAATTAATCATATATTTTTCTAGGAAGAACTGTGATGAAACAGTTTTAACAGAGACCTTTGGCTCAAAAACATTTGAGATTTTTGATTTCAGTCTAGTGACTATCTAGTCCACATGTCCAATTTTTGTTAATGAATATAATATATTATTTCGAATCCAAATATATTTTTTCACTTTGTAGTTTTATACAGGTACGAGCGAAAAATTATTATTCCTACTTATTAGTTAAACAGTATGCACTTGGCGCCCCCTACAACTAAGAGACATAAATGACATAGAAATCATATTTAGCATGTGAAAAAAACTACCAGACACCAATTTTCATAAATAAAAATGAAACTTCTACACCCAGTATCTTCGAAACCAAGCATTTTAGGACGTACATTTATACGAACTTCTTTACTTATTTTTATCTACAGAATGCGTTACCAAAGTTTCTCTAATACAACACTTGGAACATCACTAATATATTTCTTCGTCGTATAACAATCACTAATATATTTCTTCGTCGTGATGGCGAATCGAAAAACGAATGGTTCGATTTCCTTCGTTCGGTTCTGTAATTCAATCTCGTACACACTACTACCGAACGAACGTATGTAGTGTGAATACCCACCTTGATACGTACACATCATTCTGACGAATTTGTACGCCTTCGTTCGCTGTATCTGTACGCGCCTTAAACCAGTTTATTCTTGTCAAGCGATAAATTTAATTTTGACCCTGAATTTGTTTCTATTTTGTGTATTTTCTCTCTTGTAGATAATTTATAAATACATCTTATTTTTGTCTCTAACACCAACTCGAAAAACGTGACCCTATACATAAAAATAATAATACTATACACATTGGAATTAAGTAACTTTGTTTAAGTAGTATAAATCTCGGTTATACAATACAGTCGAAGATAAATACTGTGTAAGTCTGTAATAAATACTATTTACATTCGTACTGGCCCAATAATAATCATAAAAAAGAAATGATATGATAGGGAATGTGAGGCGGATTGGTCACAATTCAGCCCGGACTCGGGTAAGTACAGCAATGGAAGTTTGTCCTGCGTCTCAAACCGAATTCAGAGACACAACCCTCAGTCTCAAACAACAAAACTTAATCTAACTATGAATATATTATACAATACAATGGATAAACTCAATAAGTAATAATAATAATAATGAAAAACATTGCTTTGGTATCGGTTACAAATACAACAACAATTCCCAATGAAGTTTTTTCCGTAGGAACTTAATTGGGGATTATTTTACATTTAGTAGTATTTTATTTTATACAAAAGTACATAACTAAGGTAACAAGGGGTGTAATGTACATTTTCGCGAATAAAAAAATTAATGACCGTCTTTCGTTGTCGCACGTATATAAATGTATGTTACAAATAGGACTACAATTAAATAAAACAGGTATCACATATAACATCAGTAAAATCGAATACAGCCATTAAAGTTTCTTGAAGAAAATCGGAAGTTTCCAAAAACGCACAAAACACTTTTATATAGCGTGCCCAAAGTAACTTACCACACGCCATACAGTAATATTAATTCGTTGGTAGTAGAAAACTGTCATAATACATCTACCAATTTTCACAAACTTTACACCAACAATATTTTGCCTAAAACGATTTACATATACAAAAAAAAACGACTAGTACGTTATACTGGGTGGAGGAGCAGGAAAGCGTGGCATTCCGCCCCATGGAAAGAGTCATGTAGCTGCTTCCTTCGAAGCTATGCTCGTGGACGAGTCCTCGTCGCCACTCAACATCGGCAAGGTGCTCAACAAGTGACCTTTCCCCTGGTTCACCACACATTTCCTCATGTGTTTCTCCAACGTGGAAGGTACGGAGAAAGGCATCTCGCAGAACCGGCATCGGTACACGTCCTTGCCTATTCGGCCGTGAGTTTTCATGTGCCGCGTTAGTTTCGAGCTCTGCGCGCAAGCGTACGAACACAACTCGCATTTGTACGGTTTCTCGCCGGTGTGGGAGCGTCTATGAACGGTCAGATTGGAGCAGTTCTTAAAAACTTTACCGCAAAACTCGCAAGTGTCATTACGGCGCGACTCTTTTTTCATCAGGGGATTGGGTAGTAAAGCACTGGGACCTGGAACTCCTTTGTTTTCTCGCTGCATGCCGGATAACCACCAATCGTTCCGTTCCAGGTCTAGCTTTAGTCTTTTCGTTGCTTCGTATGTGTCGTTAAATGGAGGAAACAATGGTAGAGGTCCTGGAGGAGGCCCCGTTAATAATCCTTTCGTAAATTCCTCGCGAATTTTCAGTTGCGTCGCCAGGGACGTGTTATTGTTATCCCTATCTTTGCTCGCCTGCATTTGTAGTTTTAGAGCAGAACTACTTTCTTGCAAGGCTTGTTTATAAGCTTCACTGTATTGCGCGATATTGCTCAAACCGAATTTATCCATGAGCTCACCAACCAGCGACGCTTGGCTGGGATTGCCGTTTTTTGAACCCTGACTGGGTACGGTTAAATCTTCGGCTTCTTCTTCTTCTCCGTCCATATCTTCCTCGTCTTCGTCTTCATCGTCAAGCTCGTCATCTTCTTCACTATCTTCACCGTCGAGAGTTTCAACCGAACCAGCGTTACTAGTACGGTCTTCGGGTGTTCGATGAATTTTCATATGTCGCTTTAACTTGCTGCTACCAGCGTAAGCTTGATCACAAACGGTACACTTATACGGCATTTCGCCCGTGTGGGAACGTCTGTGAACTTCCAAATTATTTTGGAAACGAAATTTTTTACCGCAATAATCACAGGCGTGTACAGCGTCGGAGGAAAGTGAGTTTCGAGGGGAACCCGGTTTTCCTGGTGGTGTGGATGCCGATCTTGGCGTATTAACTAAATGCTCGTCTCCGCTGCTTTTGTTCGGCGGAGATGTACTAGGTGGTCTGCTTGAACTATTGCCACTATTCCCGCTACTAGAACTATGATTATTGTTATTGCTACTGCTGCTTGTTGGGTTACTGTGGTTACTCGACGAGCTCAAATTATTTTGGATTGAAGTTGGCGGCACTTGCGAGGGCGAGGGACTTGTAAAAGGCGGTGAAAGCTTCCTGGGGCTCGGGGAGCTCGCCTGTGCTACCCCAGGACTTGTTGTTCCTGCTAATGCTCTCAACCGCTGTGAGTAAAAATCCAGCTGTGGTTCCAGTGATAAGGGCTGATTTGGTGTACTCCGATCCCTTGGTGGTAAGTTAGTTACTGAATTGGCCCTTTCTGCCGGCGATGGAAAGCTGTGAGGTTGTGGAACACCTCCAGCAGCTACTGCTGCAGCTGCCGCCGCCAGGTTAAGTCCGTGATGTCTGAACTGTTCGCTTACGAGTTGATCGATGCGATAATGATGATCCGGACGAGAAAATAGTGGTGCCGGAGGTAGATTAGGGTTCATGCCGTGATTTAACGGGGGCAACGGTAATCTCAAAAGTCCTCCTACTCCAAACGGGTTGGGTAGATCTGGTGGTGGAAGCAGTGGATGACGCATATTTGGTGCTTGAGGTGGAATTCCAGAAGCACCCGATGAACAACCCGATGAACTACTTGAAGCTGAACTTGTAGAATGGTTGTTGTTGCTACTGCCGCTGGTGCTGTTACTACATTTTGATGATCCCGGCGATGACTCAACGTAAATTTTAATGCCGTGGGCATGTTGAACGTGTTGCACTAATCGCCAAGCTGAGTGAAGTCTGGCCTTGCATGTCGAACAGAGGTAGTTGCTCGGTTCTGAAACAAAACAAATCAAACTTAGAACATCTTATTGCCATAAAATTTTTAAATTACTCTATAAGATATGCGACTATTATAGAACATTTTTAGCGTCACTCCAAACTATGTAGTCCTTATTAAAATATAAACAAGAGGAATATGTAAATGATCCATTGTATGGTTATTCATCCACACACCTTTATGTTTAGCATCATCGCTGTCTGTTCCTGCATTATTATTTATGAATTTCCTTAACAGTTCGGTATGTTCAAAGTTATTATATTTGAATAAAAGATGCATTAAATAAATCGATCATCTTTAACAGTTATACAGGGTCCGGCAATAGTGCGTCGGGCATCTGTAGCTCCTAGAACATACAACTTGAGAATTTTGTTTAAGTGCATACCTGAAGTATGTACCAGGATGTATTTCAGGAAAATATTTTAACTTCTATAGAGTGGCTCAAAAAAGTGTGAGTGGACCTGGATGATTTTTTGTAAATGGAACACCCTGTATATTATTACATTTTTGGCTTCCTTTCCGATCACTTTACATAACCCTAAGATATGAATAAATACATTTTGATAGTTTCAGAGATATTAAAAAATAAATCAAAAATATATATTTTTTCAGCCCTTCTTAAAAAAATTATTAAAAATACAAAAACTGTTCTGAAAAAAAACTATATTAGGTATTTACTTTAGATGGTCTGTACTTACTTTGCTATAAATATGAAAATCGTAAATTATACGGGATGTTCAAAATTCTACGCCAAACTTTCTAAAATATAAAATAATTTTTCTTCGTTTTTTTAAATGGAACACCATGTATATTATTTTTTCAGTATACGGAGAATTAAAAAATGAACATTTTTTATATTTAGAGTATTTCAAAATTTTTAACGGTTTGGCAGATATTTGCGGTTTTATATTTCATATGGCATTTTCCACAGTAAATTTTTATCAAAGCCACCCAATAATTTTTCTCTCGTATTTTACCATTGAAAGCGCCATATGAAATAATACTGCGTGTATCTGCGAAACTGTATACAAAAAATGTTCATTTTTAAACTCTCCATCTAATAAAAAAATAATATACAGGGTGTTCCATTTAAAAAAAACAAAGAAAAAATATTTTATATTTTAGAAAGTTTGGCGTAGAATATTGAACATCCTGTATGAATTACGATTACCATATTTATAGTAAAGTAAGAACAGACCATCTAAAGTAAATACCTAATATCGTTTTGATTTCAGAACAGTTCTTGTATTTTTAATAATTTTTTAAGAAGGGCTGAAATATATATATTTTTAATTTATTTTTTAATATCTCTGAAACTATGGAAATATATTTATTCATATCTTAGGGTTATGTAAAGTGATCTGAAACGAAGCCAAAAATGCAATAATATACAGGGTGTTCTATTTAAAAAAAATCATCCAGGTCCGCTCATACTTTTTTGAGCCACCCTATAGAAGTTAAAATTTTCCTGAAATACATCCTGGTACATAACTTTAGGTTTGCACTAAAACAAAATTTTCAAGTTTTTTATTCTAGGAGCTACAGATGCCCGACCCACTATTGCCGGACCCTGTATGAAGATAGGTAAGTATTAAAAAGATCAAGTATAGAGAAATATTTTTTAGGTAATAATAACAAATAACTAAAGTTAGAAGACGTTTTTGTTTTAAATAGTATATAATACAAAATATATTTCAAAACAGTTATTTAATATTGTCACTTGTTTGGACAAATATTCATCTATAAGAATTGAGTTTTACGTAAAACACAAACACAAACAGAATTAAATTGTAATATTGAGATAACTCTTAGTTATGAAATTAATATCGCTTTCGTTTTGTATGTAAAATTATATAGGAAATGTCATGGATGTTCATTTCCAAGCCAACTCGACACCGTTTTTTTTTCGACCATACCGTATTAAATAAAATGAACGATGACAAAGAACTGATCATTCAAGCTAAAAACACCATCTCTCCAAAATCGCCGCGCCGCGCCGCATCAATTCGAGCATTGTCCAAAGGAAACGCCGTCTTTTCCGCTTCCTCAAACACGATCGGTCGGTTTGTCCGAAATTAGCTGCCTTGCGAGCCAATCGATCCGTCAAATTAGCGTCGTAGTTGCCAGAGAACAATGGACGACTTTCTGTCTCTCTGTATGTGTGTGTGTGTGTGTGTAAAAGAAGCTGCGTATCGCCGTGCCCTCTATTATGTGGTCGAGGAGTCCGTCCGGTCGACAATGACGGCCCCCCTCGCCCCCCTTCTTGACCTCGCCGTCTTGCTCATTTAGCCGTGTTAGCGCGCCAACGGGCCAGATAGATTACGTCAGGATCGCGATCTAGCCGAAAATGATGTATGGCCCTGTCTAGGAAAAAGCCTCGATTGATAAAGGGCATTGTTTGGAAAACCGACTAAAATCGCAAGAAAGAAAGGGCAAGAGGTTAATGACTTCGTTCGCTATTTCAATAAAAATGGTCTTCATGTACAAGAGTTTTAGACTGGACTCACACAGAAAGAGCAAAAGGTGTTATACAAAGTTTATGTGATAGGGTAAAAATAATATGTTCAGACGACAATTCACTAAACAGAGATAAATAATTTATCTCTCAATACTATGACTCAATATTATGTTTTTGTGCTGATAACAGCTGATACAATCTATAAAGATTGTATTGTTTGTTTTTGGATACTACTTTTGGTCAAGTCTTTTGTGATATACAACACCGATGAAGGCTGTAATGCTGGCCGATCCGTTTGTTCATAGAATAAATACATATTATTAAACAAAATGAAAACATACTTCAGCGTTTTCAGAACCTAAAGTCCCAAGAAAATTAATTTAAGAACGTTATTTATTTGTCATTTTTTTACACTTTATGTTTTTGATGAAATTTATTAATGAACATTGAAAATCGGGAATCTCCTTACTGTGTTCTACTTAAATAACATCATGAACGGAAAAAATGTTGTGCGAAGCAACATAGATTACAAAATGAAAAATAAAACAAATATCGGATGGTATTCGGGCGGCCGTCACTGATCCATCATCCCGTTGGCGAGGCCTTAAGGAAGCGCGTCACGTAGAGTGCACCCTGCGGACTGTGAATTTCCAACGCAAACGTCCGACCAATATTTCATTTCCGATTTTTCACTGTATTATGTGTGCGAGGGGCGGCGAAAGAAGAGGCGGGGGCGGGTAAGCGGGGGGTGGCGTAATGGCCTGCCGACATCTGATAGCGGTGGCGCGCGGGGTGTGTGTGTGTGACCGCTGGCGGCAGCGAAGTTTAGACAGTGAAACATCGAATTCAAGAAAATTCTACTCTACCTGATTGTTTCTTGAAAAAAGTAAATCTATACAGACAGAAAAATTTGAGTATTCTCGCTGTTGGAATATTTAACTTAGGCCACGGTAATTGACACGGTATAATGTAGATATTTGGATCAAATGTACTTGGATCCTGCCATATCATCTTCATAATTTTCAGCTTATTGAACCAATTCCAATAATGGCTAGCCATATTTAGATAATCTCTTTGTAATTAGGATCATTGTTGTCTATTGTTGGCTATGCGAGCCCAAGTTATCCCTGTTCATTTCCTAATATTATAGTCACATCAAGGAACTAAATGATCAATCCCAGAAAATTGGCCTTAAAATGAACTTGAAGAAAACCAAGATAATGAGCAGCAATATCCATAACGTTACCATAGACAACGTTGTTATTGAAAACGTATATACAGGGTGTTTCAAAACAAATGCGAAAAACTTCAGGTGGCGATTCCTTGTTCAAAATAAAGGGTGGTTTGCTTTATAAACGTTGGGTCAAAAGTCAACCATTAGGGAGATATCGCGGTACAAAGATGGCGGAAAAATAATGTTTTTATTTTTTATCTTGAAAACGAAAAGAGATAGACTAATGAAATTTTACGGATTACTGTTATGAAAACACACTTTCTGGTAATTTTTTCACTTTTTTAAAATGAGCGGAAGGGGTTGAAATAAACTACCCCTATCATTCTTGTTAATGAAAGTTAAAGAAAAATCTTATCAAACACATGCAAAAAAAAATAATTTTGATAGTTTAGTTTATTTAGAAACTTTTTTATCTCTTGTGTTTTTTTGATAAAACTCACTGATTTGAAATTAAAAAATAAAATGTAAAGCATTACATGTCAGGACAAAAAACATTTTTAGATAAAGAATCTAGTGGGCAGCTGTAATTTCTTTAGGAAAAAATCTAGTCGGCCGCTGTCACTTTTTAGGATGTTTCTAATATTGTTTTATTTGACATTACCCTACTGCAATACGTTATTATCTAGATTATTATTATTATCATTATTATCACTAGATTCTTAATCTAAAAATATTTTTAGTCCTGACATGTAATGCTTTACATTTTATTTTTTAATTTCAAATCGGTGAGTTTTATAAAAAAAAATACAAGAGATAAAAAAGTTTCTAAACAAACTATCCAAATTAATTTTTTTGCATGTGTTTGATAAGATTTTTCTTTAAATTTCGTTAACAAGAATGATAGTGGTAGTTTATTTCAGCCCCTTCCACTCATTTTAAAAAAGTGAAAAAATTACCAGAAAGTGTGTTTTCATAACAGTAATGCTTCCATACAGTTTCATTAGTCTATCTCTTTTCGTTTTCAAGATAAAAAATAAGAACATTATTTTTCCGCCATCTTTGTACCGCGATATCTCCCTAATGGTTGACTTTTGACCCAACGTTTATAAAGCAAACTACCCTTTATTTTGAACAAGGAATCACCCCCTGAAGTTTCTCGCATTTGTTTTGAAACACCCTGTATATTTAGGTCATAAAATCAAGCTGGGTAAAGAGAACCAAATACGGAGATCAAACGCATTTGGCCTGGGTAGCATTTGCAAATATGAGCAGCGATATTTTCAAGGATAAAAAGGTGCCCATCAACCTAAAGAAAAAGGCTTACGACAGCTGCATTCTACCTGTGCTTACGTATGGCTTAGAGAC